TTAATGACAGGCATGGATAGTTTATAGAAATGTTGTTGTTGAGTACTGTCGAGTCTGAACCAACCCATAGCTGACCTTCCAGTGGATTCTCAGGGGCAGTTAATTGCATGGGAGAAGACTGCCCATTCTTCTTCTACATAGAAACATTAGACATGGAAATTTGTACATCGAGCCCTGGTTCTCAGTGTTCCTCAAGCTCTTGAAGGTTAGAAAGCAGTAATGTTTTCTTAGATAGGGCTCTAATTTGTTTTTAAATAAATATTACTATATACGATCCTTCTAGTTTCATAAGATAGAGAATAGTTTTATCTAGCCCCAAGAGAGAAGTACAGTTACGGTAAGAATGTTGGCAGTATTCCATCAAGTTATCCAGAAGAGGGTTCACTTCTGAAAATCCAAATGCAGAAAATTTATAACCAATTACTATTTAACAATTTAATCCCATTAAATTGTGATCTGAATAGAAGTCTGCTACCTTAGGAGTGTTATTTAGCACAGCTAGACCTCAAATGTCAACTAGTTTTAGGATTTTGAGTTTTTTATTTTTTCCTTGTAAATCCAGTTATGTATGCCCCCTATAGTTGATGCTACATACTGCTATTTCAGTATATTTTACCCTCTAAATCCACTGCCTTTGAGCCTCTTCTGACTCATGGTGACTTTCCGTCGTGTTTTTGAGGCTGTAAATCTTAATGGCATCAGACTGCCCTATCTTTCCTTTGTCCAAGCAGCTAATGGAAATGAACCTCTGACTTTTTGGTTAGCCTGACACGTAACGCTAAACCACCAGACATGTAAGGCACCAGATCTCCTTATTCAGGATGTTTTGGGTACACTTAAAAGCCACCAAACAGTATTTTTCATACCTACATTTGCTTCTGTTGCCTTTTTGAATGTTCTCAAAAAAGAGTTCAGGCCATTTGTTACTTAGTAAGAATAGAAAAGAACTTCATAGAACTTCCACTTGACATCCATGCTTAGGACTGGGCCTAGGGTCTTGGTCATCATTGTACATATGTATGTCGTTGTTGATTGCCATTGAGTCGAGCACGACTCATAGCGACCCTCTGAACAAAAGGCCTTGATGTCTTTATATAACTGCCGACAGTTAACAAAGTTCATAGAGTTTCCAGAGGCATGTTGTTTAGGAAGTGGATGCTACTCCATAAAGCAGTCAGATTTATCTGTGAAGAATAATGAACTAAATGAAATGTTATCACTAACCTACACCAGTATACAGGCCAGTTTATAAGAACCACTCATTGGTATTCTCTACAGATGTGAAAGACTGATACATTGCTCTAGAGACTGGAGTGTACAGGTTTATGGTAATAAGGTATCAACAAAGAATATTGAAATGTCATACAATGCTGAAAGAATGGACAAGTCCATGTGAGAAGAAATACAGCCAATACTCTAAAAGTAAAGGGGATGGGATGAACTCACTGGCATTTTCAGGGTCAGTGACAAATGTAGGGGAATATGTTCTATCTGGATCTGTTGAAAATCATCGGATGAAAACTCTATGGATCATGGTGGTTGAGATTCCCAGCTGATAATAAGGACTGTGTGGGACCAGACAGAGTTTAGTTCTGTTTAGGAAGCTGACTCAACAGCAGCTAATTACAGTGAAGACGAGATCACAGCTGGAGATTTCAGGGAAACTCTAAGCTTAGTACATACCATTTAAAGCTCATTGAGCATAGGCTTTAGGATGTAGACTCTCCACGCTTACTGCCATCAAATTGGAACTGACTCACAATTGACCCTTGGTGGGTTTCCAGAGGTGGTAAATTCCACTGGAGGAGATTGCACACCTTTCTTTTGCAGAGCACCTGGTGGATTCACACTACCTGCCTGTGGGTTGGCCCCACAACTTCCCACAGAGGCCACCAAGAGCTCTTTTTGCTGTGGTCAGTCCAAGTCTTTGTGGAAATAGTGGGAGGGGGCTTGTTAGTTGTGTCAAAGTCATCTTATGTTTAATCAGATATAAAAAATTTTTTGAGGTTTATTGTCTATTAGGATATTCTGCACATAAGTGGCTTAAATTTTAAAGCTGCTTTGTTATGAAAATGACACTGAGACAATATCTCTGAGAGGCCAACCAAGGTATTTAACAAGATTGCTCTTTCTATATTTTATTTAAGATGTTGTGTACTACTGAGTTGGGACCACACACAACTGGCCCTCCAGCAGGCTTTCAGAGTTTGTAAATCACAAGAGAGATGATTGCCCCTTCTCATGTGGGGCAGCTAGTGGATTCAAACTATGTGCCTTTAAGATTGCAGTATATACTCTTACCACTCAGCCTCTAGAGCTCTCTTTAAAGTGAGATGTTGTAAAACTGAACTTGAACTTGTAAGCACTTAAAAATCTCCCTTTTGTAGATATATGCAGATAAGGGGTTTTTTTAAATGGGAAAAAGTATGCACCATTTGTAAAACTCATTGAAATGAAATCCAAATGAGGTTAGCTAATCGATTGAACATTTTGTAATAAAATGGAATAAGATCTTTAAAACTAAAGTCAATTACTAATTAAATTTTTTAAAAAAACCAAATCAGCATAAAATCTGCCACATTGTTTTAATGAACTCAGTTTTTATTTCCAAGCTAATGAGAATTACACAACGTTGCTTCTCTTCCAATTTAAGAAATTCTTGTAGAGCAGTAATTATGCTTTATTGTGGGTGTTATAATACTGAGTTGCCTCTACCTCGGGTAGTGTCCAGCACATAAATGCATAGCTTGAAAGCAGGGAAGTAACTTCTATCTGGGTTTTCTGTTTTGAGTTTTTGGTTTTTTGTGGTTTTGGTTTTTTGTTTGTTTGTTTGTTTGTTTTTTTGGTTTTTTTTTACTATGCTGTTGAATTCCGTTTACACTTTTTACAACATACACAGGAGTAGCAACAAAGGACTCAACTGTCTCGAAACCAGTGGTTATGGAGATAGGGATGGACTGGAAAATGTCTTGTTCCCTTATACATGGGGTTTCCCTGTGTTAGAACTCTAATTGACTCAACAGCATCTAATAACAAATTTAGATCTAAGTATTCCTCCCTCCTTGGGCTGAGCAAGAACACAAAAGACAAGAGGAGGCGAGCTCTGGTGGCCTAGTGGCAAGGAGTTGCACTGCAATCTCAGAGGTGCATGGTTCGAATCCACCAGATGCTCTGCTGGAGAAGGAGGAGCAATCTCCTCCTGTAACAGTCAGATCTGATTTGATGGTACACACAAAAAATAATGAAATTTAAAAAAAAAGACAAGAGGAAAGGGAATCCTCAATCAGAGTAGCACCTACAATGGAGAAATAGTTCTCAAGCTTGGTCCCCAACACTACTTAACTTGAAAAACTTATTGGATCAAAGGGAGAGGAAGCTGCTTATTTTAGTCAGCTCTCAGTGTATATTTTCAATATTGATTCTCACTTGGACCTGGTCTCCTGCAGATTAGGCAGCATCCTCAAGATTAGTGCAAATGTGTATTAGAATTATTAGAGTGCTTGTTGAAACACAGATGACTGAGTCCCACTGCCCGGGTGTCTGATTCAGGGTATAAGGTTGTTGATAGGTGCCATTGCATCAACTGCCATTTACAGCAGCCCTATGTATAATCTTGTCTGATTCTGCACCATCCTTGCAATCCCTGCTGTTTAAGTCCATTTTTGAGGGAGACAGGGTTCTGAAACTCTGTCTCACATACTTTGGACACTTGGTCAAAGGGACCAGTCTTTGGAGAAGGACATCATGCTTGAAAGGATAGAGGGGCAGAGCAGGAGAGGAAGACCTCAGCTGAGATGGGTTGACACAGTAACTGAAGTAATGACATTAGGTGTTTTTGAGTCAGTGAGACAGGCTTAGGATGGGGCAGGCTTCAGAGCTATTGTACATAGGGTCACTATGAGTCATGGGCAGCTTGATGGCACATTACAGCAACAAGATGTCAATCCATCTTATTGATAGTTTTCCTCTCCTTAACTAACCCTCTGCTTTCCAAAGCATGATGACCTTCACTAGAGATGGCCCCTCCTGATAATATACCCAAAGTATGTAATAGATGAAGTTGTACCGTTCTTGCCTCTGAGGAGTGCTCAGGCTGTATTTCATCCAAGACAGACTTGTTGGTTCTTTTGGGAGACCATGTCTATTCAGTGCTTTTTGCCAACACCATAATTCAGAGATAGCAGTTCTTCCATATTCTTTATTGATTGTCTCGAGTATAAGACGACATTGTTGTGTACCATCAAGTTGGAGCCCACCCATAACTGACCCTTGAGAGGATTTTTAGAGGCAGTTAATTGCATGAGAGGAGATTGCCCATCATGGTCTCACAGAGCAGCTGGTGGATTCAAACCATGGACCTTTGCCTTGGCAGCATAATTGCTTACTATAAAGTCACCAGACCTCCTCAAGAGTATAAAAACTGATGCTTTATATTTCTAACATATTGTAGAGTAGTACTGGTGCTACTGGATCAGATATCACACTTAAAGAAACATTGGAGAAAGCAATTCCCGTCTGCTAGTGTGAGGGAAGCTCATTCTCAAGTGTGCTGCAGTAGAGTGAGTGCTCAAAACGGCTTTCCTAGCCCTTGGCTTTGACTTTTGCCATATGACTGGGTAGGATTCACAAATAATGTGAATGAAGCACCATTGACATGGGAATACGTAAATAAGACTAAGGTCGGTTTACCTTCCAACTAGACTTAAATTGAGCAGATTTAGAAGGAAAAAATGGGGATCTCGTCACCATCAAGCGAGAAGCAGAGAGTGCAGTCTGTCCTGTGGGGCAGAGATTCCTGTGCAAGATGAACTGAGACTGGCAGCACTAGAGCAGAGGTGGCAGAGAGCCAGAGATCAACGAGAGGCAGAACTGCAAGCGCTGCACGTCAGAGATGGAGTCGAGGGCTCTTGCTGATGCTTCCAGGAGGGCTGAGGAGTGATGCCACCTATAATGGGCAAGACTGTAAAGTTGTGTAACATGGGCCCAGTGCTGCAAGTCAGAAGATCAAATGGTCCGTGAGCATGCTTGAGAAGCTGTCCTGACTGAACTCTGGTGATTTCCAACCTGAATCATAACTTCTCACTCATAGCAGAGAGCTATGATAGGCTAGTGGGTAAGGAGTTCTGCCAAGTCTAAGGCAGTTGTTTCAAATCCACCAGAGGCTCTGTGGGAGGAAGATGGGCAAGCCTCCCTTGCTATTTATAGCCTCTAAAAGCCCACTGGAGGGCCAGCTATGAGTCAGTTCCAACTTGATAGCACAAAACAGCAATAACAACTCCCTTAGCAAACTCTATAATCGTTAGCATGGTCTGTGCGTTCTGTATGACCATCGCAATGTAGTAGGCCCAGTAGTAGAGTAGCAACTGCCCTTGGAGGGCAGTTGGTGTTCAAATTGATAAAAGAAGGTTTGCAAGTATGGGAACATGTCTGACCTTACAAAAATCTGTTTTCCACTGTGGATATTGTGCGTGGGGAATCCAGCCCTTTGTGGACTTAGTAGAGGACAGATGCCTCCACCCCAGTGCTGTTTTTACAAGGCAATTGAAATTGAGCTCAATAGCACATTCACCTCCTCAGACACCTTGCTAGCTTGGCTCCAGTATCTACAATGGACTCTGATGTGATGTCCCCAAATCCTCCCATTAGCCATGAGCTATAGAGTCCATCTAGTTTGCTCCTTCTCCTAGATCTCTAGTTTTCAAGTGTTTTAAGAGACTTTCTCTTTATATCCAGATTCAGTCACTCCAACCTCAGATCAAAGCAGACTCCCCTTCTTTGCTGGCCTGACCAGGTTAGTGTCCACTGGACTCTTTTTGGAAGGATTTCCCCAGTAGCTGATACCCAGACTTCGACCTAGTTTCTCTGAACTGACCTCCCACCTGCATAAACATAGCTTGGATTCTCTGAATTCTGAGTGTTTCAATTGCTGCTGAGCCATGGAGCCAGGCACATAATCCTCCATCCAGATCCAGCAGCCCGGGGACCTCTTTAACTCCTTTCATCTCTATCCTTAACCTCTACCCCATCAGTGTAGTTGCAGTCTATCTAGAAAAGGGTTTTGCTTTTCTCAGCTTTATTCCCTCCCACAATTTTGTCCAAGTCTAAGTCCCATCAATGTAGACACACATCTCCATCTCCATCATACCTATTCGTTCTCCAAAAGATTAATTGTAGAGAATAGTGTTATTTTCTTTTTATGCACTTATGGTCCACTTGATTACCCCTTGTCATAGACTATATTCTCTGTTATTATTGTTCCCAGGTGACTGAGTCAACCATCACTTGTAGAGACCCAGTGAACAACAGGTCTGAACCATTCCCTATCTTGTTCCCCACCATATTCAAGTCCATTGTTGCAGTCACAGTATCAATCCATCTCCTTGGGGGACTTCCTCTCTTTTGCTGACCTTTTACCTTGTCTGCATAATGTCTTTTTTCCAAGGACTGGACCTTCCTTATAACATGTCCAAAAGATGTGAAACAATTTTTACCATCCTTAGACTTTCCTATGTTATATTAAGGACAAATACTGCATAAGACCACCTTTGTGAAAATAGAAGGATAACCAAGCAAGATATGTATAAATGTTCGAAAGGGGAAGAGAAAGAGAAAAGGGCAGAAAAGGAGAAGAGGAAAACCCACTAGGATAGCAGAGGTTAGTAGGTGAGAGGTGCGTATGAAAGAATAGGAAATGTTCAATGGAGACTTGAAAAGACAAGAGTGATAATAGGCACAGATTAACAGTAATAATTATATCAAATACAGTGTATATAAATGATTACATAAAACACAATGTACTTGAATGAAACAGTGTATAGGACTGACTGCATGAAACCAGTAAAAAAGGAATATAATATAAAATTATTAGCTTTGCTTCTAAGGAGCACTATTGGTGCACTTCCTCCCAAGATAAATTCGTTTGTTCTTTTGGAAGCCCATCGTGTATTCTGTACACTTCCTCAGCATCACAGTTCAAAGATATCAATTCTTCCTAAGTCTTTATTTGTTGTCCAGCTTTCAGAAGCATGTAAAGCAATTGAGAATACCATAGCTTGGCTCAAGTCCACCATAGTCTTTAAGTTGACATCCTTGCTCTTTGGCATAAATCAGGTTCTCTTTGAGTCTTCCTCTGATCTTGATGCTACATTCTTCTTTATAGAGTGGAACATTCAGCTGTGCTCAGGCAAAGCCTATACTTAGGCCAAGAAGTGATTTTCCAAACAGAACAAAGGATCACTGCATGGTTTAAAGTTAAGAAAAGAGTGCATCAAGGCTGTATAGTTTTTCCACATCTAAGGAGGCTGGTGAGTCCAACTCTACTGACTTTGGAGGTTGGCAAGCAGTTGTTGCAGATTGCTGACTTTGAAGGCTTATGATTTCAAAGTTAGCAAGTAAGCCAGATACAGGATTGGGAAAAAAAAAGCTTTCTTGTTTTACCAGAGAATGCATAAATCTATTTAAATGCAGGCCACACTCCTGAGGAAATGTCCCCTTCATCAGATCAAGGTGATCATACCATTGTATAACTGCCTCTAGTCCTGCCTTTTTAACATCCTAGAGGTTAGGATTTATAACACAGAGAAAAGTTAACATTACACTGAGGATCATGTCCAGGGTGACATTCATAATAAACATTATATATGCAAAGTCATCAAAACTTACAAGGAATACTTTTATCTCAGAGTGAGGAGAGACAAATTAAACTATACTCAAATTACTGGGACATTACAGACTTACCGTACTGCACAATAAAATTTACTTAACCTCAAACTGAGTATTATACTACTTTATGATCAATTCAAAAGGCACTTTAAATGATTAAAGTACCTTTTGTCATTATGAATATTTATTATTATGGGTTATGGGAAATACAGTCAAAGAAATAAAAGGATTTTTTTCTGGTTGATAGTGCAGTGAATATATCTGCTTTTACTCTACTGAAAAGGGACTAAAGTAAAAGAATACTTTCTGATGTCTTCAGTGAAATTCTGCCTCAGGCTTCTCCTGCCTATATTTCAAGTTGTTAATGGTACTAGAAAATTTCTGATATATGAAATTGCTTAGTCGAGTATAATTATGGAGTCCCAATTAAGAGTTTAATAGTTTAAAGCATTCATATGAAATTTATTTTACTCTCTATATAAGGCTTGAGCACATAATTAATCTTGACTACAATATACACTTACTTTTAACCTAAATCTAAAGGTTGCCATCTTAATGTCCAACCAAAAAATGTTATTACAATATTCAACAAGTCGGCAATTCCTGATGACATTTGCATTTTCTCTAGTTTAAAAAATCCTCTGAGAGTCCAGAATTAAGGTTGCATTGGAGTGTACTCGGGGCAGTGGTGGGGGTGGGGGTGGGTGGATTGTATACCAATGAAAGAATTTTTCTTTTACTTTCCAAAGAGAGAAGCGAACGGGGGGCCGGGGGGGGGGGGGGTAGAATCACAGAAACCCCAGATTACCTCAGCGCAGCAAATTGACAGAGGAGTGCTGTATGACTTACAAGAATGTTCCTCCAAAATATAACATGAGAAGATAGATAACTGTTTATTAACAAGAGGGCAAAGTGCTGTAACATGTGAGTAGGACTCATTTAAAAAAGACGAACTTGAAAAGATATCACAACTTTATTTGCACCCTTCTTTAGAGTTTACAGTGTCCAAAGCGTCTTGTTTTACGGCTGTACAGTTGTATTCTCAGGATTTGAAGGTAACTCTTCCACATACGCAGCAGGAAAATGACCTTTCTTTCCATTTAAAGATCCAAACCACCATCCTTCCCCTTTTTTCTCATGTATTGCTATAATGTCACCTGTGGAAAAAAACACACATGTATTTGAATAATCAAATGAGGCTTCACAACCTGTGCACATAACTGAGCCAGACGGGAAAGCCTGTTTTAAAGGGGTTCTGGCTCCAAAGTGTTAACTTGGTAACATCCACTGCATTTGATGCAGATGAAGGGGTCAAGATGAACTTCTTGAGCATCTGTTGTATACACAGCAGACACAATGCAGAGAATACCAAGACTGAGCTATGGACAATGGAGTTGTGCCATTAAATTATTTGCTTAGAAATGCAATCATGGGTCTTATTTCATTCTAGCGACACTGGGCTCTCTTTGTGTTTAGTGGGTCAGTTGTTACCAAAGTCTTTTCCAAAGTCTGTGCTTTAAGTTTTCCACCTGATATGGCCACCATTGCTTGGTACCTTGATTACTTTGACTCTCTTGGCTACTATTCTTTTCACAAGAGAAGACAGCTTATCCCCTACACAACTGGTTTCACAGCCCAAAATTCTAATGCACAATTTTACACAGGAACATAATAGAAATGAGAAGTTAACGAATAATTGGGGTAATGTTAATAAGGTGCCACTTTGCAAATGATGTTATTGCAAAACCTATAATTGTTTGCATTTAAAAAAACACTCAGGAACTCACTTATACTTTAAATATGTTGTTGTTATTGCAGGTGCCATTGAGTAGAGCACAAACCATAGCAACTCTATGAACAACAAACATCTGAATCCTGTCCTATCCTGTGCCATCCTCACACTTCCTGACATGTGAGAGTCCTCTGTGGAAGTCACTGTGTCAATCCACCTGCTTGAGGGTCTTCCTCTCCTTCACCAACCCTGTACCATTCTGAGCATCATGTCAGTATACTTAAACCTGAAGTATAACTAAGCTCCCGGGTCTACTCTGACTTGTAGTAACTTCATGTATAATGGGATGGGGTGAAGTTAGAGTCCTGTGCATGCCCATGATCACTTACAGATCTGATCAGGTCCTTGCAGTCCACAGAGGTGTCATTGCCTGACTTTGGAAGTACATCACCAGACTTTTCTTCCTAGCCCATCTTAACCTGCACGCTCCTCTCTAAAGCCTGTCAGCACTACAGTAACATAATCATAAAACAACTGTGAGATATCTCACCCCAGACAGAATAGCAAAATTTAACAGAACAGCAAGCAACAAATGCTGGCGAGGTTTTGGTGAAACTGGAACACTGATTCACTGTTGGTGGGAGTGTAAAATGGTGCAACCACTGTGGAAGACAGTATGGCACTTTCTCAAAAAGTTACAAAGAGAGATACCATTTGACCCAGCAATTCCACTACTGGGAATATACTCCGAAGAGACCATAACTGACATCCAAGCAGATATATGCACACCCATGTTTATTGCAGCTTTGTTCATAATAGCAAGTAGTTGGAAACCTAAGTCCCCATCAAAAAATGAATGGATAGAGAAACTGTGGTATATTCACACAATGGAATACTACACAGCATTGAAAAACAAGGAACTCATGCAATATTATTCAAAATGGGTGACCCTGGAGGACATTACGCTGAGTGAAGTATCTCAGTCACAAAAGGACAAATACTGCATGGTGCCACAGTTGTAAAACAGGACTGACCTTGGGGTCGGGGAGAGACTGAGAAAGATGGGTTCAATAATGTATCCAGCATTGAAACAGATAAGGGAGAAAACTGTCTAAAAGAGATATGTGATTAGGTATTTTTGTCATGACAGGAGTCTAGAGCGAAGGCTACATGGTGGAGTGGACCTGGGGGAGGGATTGTCAAACAATGAAAGAATTTTACTTTTCCAAGAGGGTAGTATACTAGGGGGGAGGGTTGGAAGGGAGACAAGTGCAACAATGAATGAATGGAAATCCAAAGTCTCTGTAAATTTTTACTGAAATTAAGAATAAATTTAAATTTAAAAAAAAAAGATTCTGTACCTCATATGAAGTGCTTTGACCAAGAATCAAACCCAGGACTCTGATACGAAGGCGAGAATTTTACCACTGAATAACCAAACCACACCAAGCCCTCTACTGTTGAGTTGATTCTAACTCATGGTAACCAATAGGATGGTCTACAGCTGCCCCTTGGGATTTGCAAGGCTATAAATCTTGAAGGCAGCAGACTGCCTCATCTTCGCCCCCAGTGTAATTTGAAGAAAACACTTTTTAAAACCAGTGAGTCAAATAAATAGAATTCCTAATAAATATATTGCTCTTCTCTATTTTTTTTTAAATAATATTCTGGAATCAGTAGTCCCATAGCGTAACTCAGTAGTTCACATCCTGCAGGTAAGCCCCTCGTTTGCAGAAGAGAACCCTTTCTGGCTGCTTCTTGCACGTCACAGAAACATCTTTCTTCTAGATCCATGCATTGCTTTCATTTTCGTAGCATCTGTCTGAGGTAACTTTCCAGTCTTTCCTGTTTCTCCTCAATAATAATTTTCTTTGTAAAAGGGAAACTGTTAAACCTCCTTCTCTTTCCTTAGCCATCAATGTATTCTTGTATGAGAAATCACTCTCAGTCCAATCTCTACCCTCTCCTAAAGTCCTCCAGGTCAGTAGATTGTTTGACACAATCTTTTAATAGGAATTGAAACAAGTGGTTTTGAAATCTTCTTGCCTGCTTTCCTAAGTTTCCTTTGTCCTGATTTCATTGAAAGTCACCAGGTAAAAGAATCTAAAGCATGAGTAAACGCTGAAAACACTAAAGAACCAAAACAAGATCATTTCTTTTGTAATTCTGTACCATGTCCTGGGGATCCAGATGAGCACGAGCCTGTAACATCTGGGTTCTGTGTGTTTTATTTATGTGGAAAGTAGAAGTATAAAATTTCATTTGCCTGCCTATTCCCTACTCCATAGCTAACCTTAGGATAACATGATTAGTGAAACCACTTCTGTAAGGCTTCAGACTTTTAAGTAAAGGTTACATTAGTCCAAGATGGAAGCAGGAACATGTTTTCCCTTTAGTTACATATCTGAGTTCCAAAACAGAGCGATAGCCTGGAAAAGCCAGACGGGGGAGTGAAAAGGAAGCACCCACCAGCCAACAGCAAATACGCGGTATTCCTGTTTGACTTAATGCCATCGTGATTTCTTTTGACTCTGGGAGTTATGTCTTAGACATGGATAATGACTTTTTCTTTCAAAAACCTCAATTTCCTGATCTTCATTTGGCTTATTAAAGCAAATATGGTTGCCAGTACAAGGTCATATAAAGACTTTCTTCTTGTTTAATTATGTCAAGTTCTATATATTCCATCAGATAATTCCTTCTCATGTTAAACAAAATCTATGAGACAAAGAAGGAACACTGATTCCTTAGATAGGTTACAAGACATTTTCCAGGAAAAAAAACCACAACAAACCACCACATTAATCTTACTAGGTAAGTCACAATGGTTGTTGAATTAAGAAATGGATTTTGGAATATTAAACTTTCCTTTTGAGAAACTTTTCATTATTTCAACTCTACTCCAAACTGTTAAATAGCAAAGCATTCCCAATCCCTTTAGTTTCTAATGATTTTCTATTACTGACATGCTACACCGGTGTGACACTGTGATTAAACATGGCTCAGAGTGCCTGGGTTCAAATCCGTTGCTACTGTCTATGACTTTGATCAGAGCATTGAATCTGTCTGTGTCTCAGTCTTTTCATCTTTTTTTTTTTTTTAAACGGAATGATCAATTTTTTGACATTCCATGATGTGTTCATTTCAAATGCTTTTTTTAAATTTTTATTGTATTATTTTTACATGTACAGTCAAATCAGATCTGACTGGTATAGGAGGAGATTGCCCCCTCCTTCTCCAGCAGAGCATCTGGTGGATTTGAACCACATACCTCTGGGATTGCAGTGCAGCATCTTGCCACTAGGCCACCAGAGCTCCCTAGTCTTTTCATCTTTAAAAGGGGAACAAATAGCACACTTCAGAAGGTTTATTGTGAAGATTAAAGTGGATAAGGCTCTTGCAACAGTGCTCAACACATGGCAAACAGTGGGTAACTATTGTTCCTATTATGTGTGCTGTAGTAGCTGATGTGTATTATCTTCTAAAAAGGATGATTTAGTTATAAACTTGAACTAACTTAATGTGGTGGTCTGTAATGCTGAAACAGGATTTTTATTCATGTTAAAGATTGTAACATGAAAATGCAATTAAAATATATGAAAACAACTCTTACCTTTTTCCAAATTTAATTCATCCCCTTGTCTAGCTTGAAAAGGATACAAGGCTTTGCAAAGTCCATTGCCAAGCTGGGTCACTCCGGAGGCTGAAAGTTAAATTAGTTGTCATTATCAATGCTTTCTCAGTAGGCAAGATGAATGGGGTTGGGAATGCTTTATTATTTAACAGTTTGGAGCAGAGTTGAAATAATGAAAACTTTCTCAAAAGGAAAATTTATGTCCCAATATCCATTTCTTGATTCAACAACCATTGTGACTTACCTAGTAAGTGAGTACCTAACTCATTCATTCATTGTTATCAAGTCAGAAGTGACTAGTAACTGACCTCCAGCTGGTTTCTGAGGCTGTAAATTGTGTGGAGGCGACTGCCCATCTTTCCCCCACAGAGCTGCTGGTAGATCCGAACAATCACCGAGGCACGGCACAACTCCCTGGGCACTAAGCCACCAATGCTCCCCACTGAGTATATTATATAATGTAAAAAAAATATATCGGTGAGCTCTGGTGGCCTAGTGGCAAGAAGCTGTACTGCAATCCCAGAGGTATACAGTTCAAATCCACCAGATGCTCTGCTGGAGAAGGAGGAACAGTCTCTTCCTGTACCAGTCAGATCTGATTTGACAGTACACACACACACAAAATAAAATAAAAAAAAAATCATGATTTAAAAAATGGTAACTTTGGAGAAAAAAGTTACTGTAGTAGTAGTAGTAGTAGTAGTAGTAGTAGTAGTAGTAATAATAATGACAATTTTAAAATCTTTCTTTCCCATGTGGGTTTAGTGTACATTATTTAGAAAATTTGTATGATACTAACAAGTATGTTTTAGACTACAAACTGAGTATGCTAGTCAGACATGGGCTGGGCGGCGTTTGCTCATTACCAATATCCCTCAGTGCTTATGGATCTGCTTCTCAAACAGAGCAAAAGTGGTTCTTTACTATATTTTGCAAACCAAAAAGCCCTGGATTTTATTAAAACTCTATTTTGCCAATTTCTAGTCGAGAAACTAGAGTCAAAGTTATGGTAATTGTGGTTTAAAAGTGATAGGCTGCACACCCATGTTTATTGCAGCTTTGTTCACAATAGCAAAAAGTTGGAAACAACCTAAGTGCCCATCAACAAATGAATGGATAGAGAAGCTGTGGTATATTCACACAATGGAATTCTACGCTGCATTGAAAAACAAGGAACTCATGCAATATTATTCAAAATGGGTGACCTTGGAGGACATTATGCTAAGTGAAGTATCTCAGTCACAAAAGGACAAATACTACATGGTGCCACTGTTATAAAACAGGACTGACCTTGGTGTTGGGGGGAGACTGAGAAAGATGGATTCAATAATGTATACTGCATTGAAACAGATAAGGGAAAAAACTGTTTAAAAGGGATATGTGATTAGGTATTTTTGTTATGACAGGAGTCCAGAGCAAAGGGTGATTAGTGGAGTGGACCTGGGGGGAGGGATTGTAAAACAATGAAAGAATTTTTCTTTTACTTTTCCAAGATGGTAGTGTACT